CTTGGCAGCGCCTATTGAGGGAACTTTTCATTAAGCTTTTAAAGAAAGCCCCAGACACAGACCTGGGGAGGGGGGACTATCTTGTCGTTTGAACTGCGACCCACTCAGGTCAAGCACCCCTACTTGGCTCTTGTAAAGACATATACAAAACCAACCAAAGGTACACATATTGTCACAGACGACAGCATACACACTTGAGTGAACTCGCTCCTGCCTGAGTGATCACACTCCAAGAGACAAACAGCCAGAGAGGCGAGTGCTGACTTTTCCCTTTGGAGCTGCTCCAAAATCAAGGGACGGGAGGTCTGTGTAAACCCTCTCTCTGATTGTTTAGCCTGACGGTCAAGAAGATATACACAGAAGGTCTCTGATACAGCTGTTGGGTTCAGTATTACTCCTCAGATATGAAGTGTTGACATCTCAAGAGATTTTTTTTATTTTGGGTTCTTCGCTTTAAGCCATTTATGGAAGCATTTGTTTGAGTCGGGACAAAGCCTTAAAATAACAGCCACCCTAAAAAGACCCTCAGCTAGCTAAAACTTTACTATCCTCTCTGAAGTCTGGCTCCTCATGCTGTTCCATTTAGGCTTTAAGAGGAGGTTTATAGTTTCAATTGTTCTGTTATAGGGTGGGATTTGATAACTGTTGGGAGGCAGTCCAAGCCTCTGCAGCGCACCCAAAGTTTATTTAAACATAAAAAAGCTTTTGAATGCCATGAATGCTGGAAGATATGCTAATTAGGTGACAATGGTGGAGCCTGGAATGCATTCCCTTTCCCACAGCATTGCCAAAAGCAAGGAGTTTCTGTACTAAGCTAATTAACAGCGTGTAAAAATCACACATAGATTGTAAGTGAATAAGAAAAGGAAAATCCTGTTATGCTTTTATTTCCTGATTACACATTGGTACCTTTCAATGGAGTGTAACTGTGTGACAATGCTCTTTGAATTGCAGGAAATAAATGGCAAAGCAATGTACTACAGCTGTTTCTGAAGACATAAACCACTCAGATGTGAGGCTAAATGGATATTGAGAGAACTGATGGACCAGAAAGAGTGTAGAGTCATTAAAGGGTTTTTTCTTCAGAGCAGTTCAGTCTCCTTTAGAGGGACCTGTATTGTTTTGACTAACGTAAAAGCTCATCTGAGCTCTGGTATGGACCAAGAAGGCAAGCCCTGGTCTTCCTATAAATGTAGGTCTTGGATCATTTACAAGTGGAATCCAGTTCAGTTCGCTGGAAATGATAATGAAACTGGGCTCTTAAGCAACCAAAAAGAGGTAAACTAAAGTGAGGAAGTGATGTCTCTAGTATGTATCTGTGGTCAGAAAACTGTTAAATTATTGCTGTTGACTCTATGCAAACTATGTCACTTAATCACGTGAGACTAAGAAACTAAGATTGTTTTTCCAAGTTTTTTTTTTTTTTGCCAACATAGCTGTGGCTTCTACTTGTTCAAATCGATGTAGTTTGTGGATGTAGCACACATAGTTGGAGCTCATAAGATGGAGGTATTTACAAAAACATTGGAAATAATTAGTTTTGAACTTAACCTATACATCCTCCCTCCTGATATATTGATCAAATTGCCGACTTTGCCTGAACTCACACCACAGTTTATTTCACTATGTCATTAATAATGACATTATTAATAATGACAATTAATTCCTCTTACACCAAAGCATACATATAAGTGTACAAAAAAGACTAAATGCTAACCTGTTTTTTCTGTATATGTGATGCAAGATAATGATGGGCCATTTCTCCATGGTTACAAATGATTAGACATGTACTTTCTCTATAATGCAATACTTGATTGAATCTTTCTGAACTTATCAGTGTCCTGAACCACCTCATCACCCTTTTGAGGTTTTCTGTCCACAGCCTGCTCGGAGAAGACCTTGAGCCAGATACAGAACAAACTGGAGGGAGTAAATTTCTCTTCTAGACTAGAATCAAGGAAAGCCTTAAAGGGGGATGGATATTTGGGTTCCCCTCCAAATATCCATTGCAATCAGATCTAAAAAAAGACAACAATGGATGGGCGGATGGAAGGATACAAGATGTTTATAGCTCTACACTTATACAGTATTTCTTCTAAAACTCACCAATAAGTGTACATAGGAGTGTGTTGTTGGGGGCCACATCAGGACAGTGCCTTGCTGAAAATTGAAAATTCCACTCCTGGTATCAGTCATAAAACTCCCAAACTTAAACTACATTTGCATTGCTTTTTGTCAATCATGGAGTCAAGACGCAACTGTAGACTTCACTCAGACATCTGAATCAACTCTGCTTTGTCTTTAATCTTGTTCGGCTGTGAAAGGCTGCTGTTCACATGGAAGTGCCAAAAGCTTTTAATTTTAAAGGGGGATGATGCCTTTCTGTTTAACGTGTAACATATTAACTTTAATGAGAGAAAAAACGACCAGTGATGTCTTTTTTATGGCCATAGACATGCCATAACCAATTGCATGTCATTGAAAATAGTAAATAGAAACTTCTTGCTTTGACATGGCTGCTCAACATATGAGCTAAGATTTGAGGAAATCTAGTATGTTCTTGAGCTACACAACATATTTAACTGAGGTCATAATCACAATATCACATATAAGAAGTTGAATTTGACAAATTATTACATTTCAGTATCTTGCTATGCATATAAATATCTGTCATTTGCACAGACTTTTACTCCCCCCCTCCTACAGATTGTAGGCTCTTATTTAACTTAAAAGCCTCTTAGAGTAGGAGGGAAAATGGTGATGATGGGAAAATAAAAATGAGGAAAATGTGGTTAACTGAAATCAGTATTAAAATATTTATTGCAGCAATCAAACCCTTAGAATTGCTGACCAGCTGTTTTGAATGACTCCACAAGGATTTTGATTACTTACCTCACGTTGGAAGGCCTCCTTACCTTCACCATAATTTTTAACTCCATCCAATCAGATTCAAGTGGTCTATGGTTTGGCTGCTCAGAAATGTTAATATGTTATGTTTATATAATATTTGTGTCAAAAGACATATGCTGGTAAAATTAAAAGTTTACTTCAAGCCTAGGAGAAACTTTAGCTTTCTGTGTCTAACACTAAGACATCAAAGCTTCTCATAATGCTTGAAGGGAGTCACCCTACTCAGCACTCTAAAGCTGCACGTTATGAAGAAGGAGGAAAGCTGCGGTCTAATAAATTCCAGAATCACCAACCAAGATGAAACAAAAGGGATTTGGGAGTTCATCAGGAACATTGATGTACATTATGATTGAAGTATTGCCTCATGTTTAGGGCGACTGCTCTGATAAGCTCAAAGGTCTTCCTGCCATGGGACTTCAGCTCCTTTCAGAAGGCAGTTTCATAACAAACTCCACCTTGATAGACAGTGATTACAGTCAACACTCTAGTCAAGCTGCCTACCTTCTGCTGTAATGTGTGCTTAAACAACATGTAGTCTTTGCTAAACAATTTCACCATATTATTGCACCTAATTACCAAATCTAAGACTAACATAATAACAGTCGGTCAACTTCTACTCTTCATTTCAGCCTTGACAGCATCTTCTGTGAGGGCCTATTGGTGCCAGGCGATGGTGTGCACACTAATCCGTGAATGCTCAAGTAGCGGACCAAATGTTTTTGTGTTTTTGCTAACTATGAACATGTTTTGCACACTTAGTTTAGACTTAAACAGATGTCCTGTGTGCTTTCTGACCAAAGCCCTAATGTGCTTAATTGGGCAAATTCAGCAACGGTGTTACCGATACTGAGCAACTATTGAACTAAAACTATAAGTGAAAGGTCTGTTCCAAAGTATCACTTCCTAAAACGCTAACAGTAACAAATTTGATCCCACTGACGGTGAAATACAATTTTTTAACACATATTCTGTTATTGACATATGGTGGGTATCAACATGGTTTTAGTGCTTTAGCAATAGCTTCAGCTAAATAACATGATGGTATAACTCCTCAGCATTAGCTTCAGCTACATACTGTGTTAGAATAGGGTTTTAGTATTAGCTTCAGCTAAATACCGTGTGGTCTAGAGCTTTAGCATTAGCTTCAGNCCGGGCACGTCCCACCGGGAGGAGGCCCCGGGGAAGACCCAGGACACGCTGGAGGAACTACGTCTCTCAGCTGACCTGTGAACACCTTGGGATTCCCCCGGAGGAGCTGGAAGAAGTGGCTGGGAGAGGGAAGTCTGGGCCTCCCTTCTGAAGCTGCTGCCCCTGCAACCCGACCCCGGATAAGCGGAAGAAAATGGATGGATGGATATATATTTAATTTACAAGCTGGTTTGGGAGCATCAGAGTTCTCCTAAACAGGCTGTTGCTTTACTTTTTGCAGGTGCTGTTCTATCATCATCATCTTCATCTTCAGCCACATCTGATGATACCATCATTCTGAATTTCACAATGTGTGGCCCATCAGAAGAAGAAGCCACTGCAGAAGGAAGTCAACCTAAAAGGCCATGTCACATAAATTATGAGGCGCAAGCAGTAAGTTATTACATTTAATTTAGCATTGTTTATGTACTTTCTAGTTTTAGTGGTTCAAGAGTTTTTACATTTTTTTTGTCTTTGAAATTGAAGTTGATTGAAAAAATCTTGACAATAAAGCCTGGTGGTGAGCGAATCATGCAAGAGCATGCAAGAACTAAATGCTTGATAGATGCAACAAGAAGACGGATGATAATGGGTAAGAATCATACACTGAGGCTATAAAGAAACATTTTGGTTTTGAATTGTTTTTCAAATGTCAGTTTAGTGACTCATTGTTTGATCATATATCAGATCATCCCCTCCTAAAAGCGTCAGAGTGATGCATGCTCAGGGGATCGTTGCCTTATTTCCCCATCTGGAAGACCTCTTTTCAAAACATGGATATGCAAGTAAAAGGGTCTTAGCAACATTAAGCATATATATTTACCTTCAAAGATGTTTATGGAATGGTAAGTCTGCTTGTATTTATTGACTTAGGAGCATTACTATGATCGACACAGCGGTTCAGGATACCTTGCATGGTGCTTAAAGACCATTCAAAGAAAAACTGCAGAGGAAAGAAGTGCCTCAGGTAGCAAATCTCCCAAAAGTAAGTTTTCTCAATAGTGAGTATATGTAAAGTAATGTAAAATATGTGGCTGAGAAAAACATTCTTTTTAAGGTGGTGGACCAGGCCATGGTCACTCCAGGGTTTTCACTGCTGACAAAGTGCTGTCAGATGAGGAAGTGGAAGCTGCTATTGCTGTTTTGAAACACTCTGCTGATGATGACACGGTCCGTAAGAAGATGAAGGCTACCTTCCATTACAGTCATTCAATGGTCAATGATGAAAAGAAAGCAGAGAATGTCTTCTGTCTTTCCACGGTTTCTGGACACACCAGGACTGGTAAGACAGCTTTATCTCTTACACTACTACAATATTCAGTGGCAACAATCATAGGAGTGTGTCCTGTAACCTGTGTATTACCAGTTTGAACCACAACTCTTTCTAAACGGTTTTCCCCTTGGCCAAGACACTTCACCTGGCTTGCCTGCTGGTGGTGTTCAGAAAGCCCGGTGGCACATGGCAGCATTGCTTAAGTCAGTCTTCCCTTGTGCAACTGTGGCTACAATGTAGCTCACCACCATCAGCATGTGAATGACTAAATGTGGTGTAAATCACTTTGGGCTCCTCTGAACTTCATAAAGCACTATACAAGTACAGGCCATTTACCGTCTTATCACTGTGTGAAATGCTTTTATTTATGCATTTCAGGTAGAACAAGATTTCAGACTCCTGTTTGGTGAAGGCACTGCCAACACATTTTTGGAGAAGTGGCCCACCAGTCTCAAATCCAAGGTCATAAAGGAAAGCCATGGCCTGGAACCCAGCACTGAGCTCTTGGATTTATTGGGGAATGCAGAGTTGGCTATGTTGGTCTTCCAGGTAATTGTGACAAATTCATATGTTAGTGGGATGATGGTAACCTGAAGCTGTTGCTCTGTAGGTTGGGATAGTGACATGTCTGCTATGTTGCATCTGCTACCAGCATCTGCACAAGGACAAAGGAGGCCGGGTAAGATGTCTGCATCTCAAGCAGTGGATCACCTCATCAGATTTCTAAAGGTACTGCTAAACAGTTGTTTAAAGATAAAAATGCATAATTCAGTTTCTTCATTCAAAATTTGATTGTCTGATCTTCATTCAGAAATTTGTCACAATACTTTTGTCATGTTTTTATTAATTTCTTTAATGTAGGTTGGAACCAGTGTGCAGCAGCATCTTGACAAAATTAAGCAACAAATCCAGCCCTACCTCCTGGCCCAGGGATCCATCCAAAGCAGTATTCATGCATTCTTCATTGTGATTGACAACCATGCTATTCCATGTAAGGCAACATGTTCAGTTGGAGCTCTTGATGAGCTCTTTAAGGCCCATTATGTGTTTGGTACGTCATACAGTGCTCCCTTGACCAACTTCATCACCTTTCTCCAAACAACCGTTTACAACATAGATGTTGGAGAAACAAAGGAAACACCCAGAGTTGCAGAGTTGAGAGCAAGAATGCTCCATTAGTGTGACATCAAACAATGAAGTGTTTTATCTGCAAATGTGACAGTGATGCACCAAACAGCCTTGTTTAGCACCTTAAACTAATCCGTAGTCTTTGTTCTGGTTCTGGTTTTAGAAAGCATGTAAATAGATGTCATGTTAGTGGTTCATTTGAATCTATATAAGATTCAAATTAGCGGTTCTCAACGTGGGTGGTACCGCCCCCCCGGGGGGCGTTCAGAGTACGGCAGGGGGTGCTGGCAGAATGTTTTACAAAAGGGGGGCGCTGGGATTCCTTTGGGGGGCGTTTGGTCGAAGGTAAACTTTACACCTTAAATGCACACCAATGCCAGTATAGACTTTGAGCAACTTGGTAAAACTGTATTTCGTAACATTAAAACATGCTTGGCTGCAACTGTATCGATGGCAGCTCTTCTTCTCTTCAGTATTTGTAGCTTCTTGGCGCAGCTCCTCTCCTGCTACTGGTAGCTTCACCACATCAGTTCAGCGTTACACCTGCTGATGATGTTGCTGTGATTCACTTTGTCTGGTATTTTTGTACATATTTTTTGGCAGTTCTGCGATCATGTCAAAGCAGCAACTTATATTAAAAAGTGTTTTATTTACATTTGAAAGCTGCCCGCTTCCATGGAAGGACAACAGAAAATCGCTCTTAATTACTAAAATCACGATACCCTCACTGTGTATCCCTCTGAAAAATGAACCCATTTAAATAAAGAAATCCCTCCATAGTGATACCACGATAGAGGGCGTTCATTTTATAGCGTTAACACCGGTGCTGTAAGTGGTCCGGTATGAAACGGGGGTGATAGAACAACGGAACCACAGCACTTTTAAATTTCAATAATCGGAATACCGAAAATGTTTCAGTTGTTTTAAAAGGTTTATGTCAGTCTGCCTTTTCCCCATCTATACGTTTCCTGAACGCTTCGCACTATAGGGGGTTAAAAAAAAAACAAACAACGACGCGCACATTGCACAAAACTCAGAAACAGGAGAAGCGGGACATAAAACAGAGCGACGAACTAGATGTCAATTATGGCATAAAAACGGAGAATCCGACGCTGAACAGGGAAAAATTAATACATGATGTGAAACATGATGATTAGGCAGCGCAGCAGGTGATGAGTGAAGATTACTGATGGTGAGCGTGCCATGTGGGTGAAATTTTATGGATGATACTCTGATGTCCCATTCTCCTGAAGGCAGCACAGAGCTGCACCGACAGAAACACTGAAGAGAAGAAGAGCTATGATTAATGTAGTTACAGTTCTATCCATGTTTTAATGCTGCAGAGCTCAGTCGGTTTGCAAATAGTTCAAAGTTTAAACTGGCATGTTGAACATCTTTTATCATTTTCTGGAATATTTAACAACTAGAAAATGGCACAAAACAAGAATATTTTTTCCACTCTGATTGGCTGCTGTCAGGCCTACTGATTTTAAGTTGAATGTTCATTGCATTTTTTGTAAACACCTGTGAAAATATTTTCTATTCTCATGGCTTTTTGTTCTCTGGGAAATTATTTTTGATGATAAATACAGAAACAAGCATAAAAATCAAAAGATCTACAATAGTGATAGTAACTTTTATAATAAAATAATAGTCAGTACAAAGTAGCCTTCAAATTCTTTGGTGGGGGGCAGTGAGGGACCTGGATAAGGGCTGGGGGGGCGCTGGCCCGAAAAAGGTTGAGAAACACTGGGTTAAATGAACTTCATAGTTAAGACAAATTGTTGCTGCTTACATTGCCTTTAGTACAGTAACTTTTCATGAACATTTTCATGGTTATGAAGTTACTAAAATGATGCAAGGTTTTGTTGTTTGACGTCAACCATCTTTGTATAAAGCAAATGGCACTGCTCTCTTTGTTGTCCCATATTGCCATCTTTGGTGAACATTGTTTTGAAGATGATTAAACTGACACTGTTACAGTAATTATGTCACTGGATCATAAACTTTAATAAATGTCACTGTGAACTTATAGCTTTGTGATTATTGTGATTGGTAGATTTTATAAAAGTCATAATGCTAAAATTTAGCATTATTTACATGTGTAAAAAACTGGACAAAGGAAAAAAACAACACAATAAAGTGTACATTTTTAAAGTAAATTTAGTGTAAAATTAACTCCATAAAAATAACAGTATTACTCTGGAGAGAGTAAACAAACAGTGTTAAATAATTTGACTCACTGACTTGTTAATTTTGACACTAAAATAAGAAAAATTAACTGAAAATTTGACACTGGCCATAGGCATAGGAAGCGGGGGGACATGTCCCCCCCCCCCAATATTGGAGAGAGTCACATTCGTCCCCCCCAATAATTTCACCGCTGTTGCGAAGAATTTTAAAATCTTCCACTCGCGTGCTTTTATTTTGAAGGCGCACAACAGCGCATTCAGAGGAGCGCTTCCTGCCCCTCCCCCCTCTGAACGGCTCAGAGTAAAGGCAGCAGCAGACGGAGTCAGAGAAACTCCGTTTGAATGAGGTAAACGATCTGTCAGGAATTTTGCTATGAATATCGCCCGGTTATAACATCTTGTTGTCAGTTTACTTTCAAATATAGAACAAAATCTTTTAGGTTAAGCCGTTTTAATTCTGGGATAGTCACATGTCCAAAATTTTACTGCTAACTTTGTTTAAAAGTTAGCTAGTTTTTGAGCATTCTTCTAGCTAGCTTGCTAGTTGTGAGAGGCAAATGCTAAAGTGAGTGTTCATCCTGGAATGATGGTCATTATACTGCATAACTTTAATCTGATTATTGGATTGTAAATAGTAACATGTTAGAATACTTGTTACTGAAACAAGGGTCAGATTAGAGTAACGCGTTACTGATGTGTTGATGGCATAACTGTTTGACATTTCTGCTTAAGATATTTACTGATCTGTCAGGTTTCCGATATGCGTCCCCCCCAATGACAGACTCGTTCTACGCCCTTGCACTGGCTATAGAGGACATTTGACACTATTTGAGTGGGACCAAAAGTATCTGAAACGGAGTTAAATTCAACTCTATAGGTGTTAAATTGACACTTTGTTTTTTACTGTGCAGCTGTTCAATTCAGATACAGAAGAGGAGGACTCTGATGGATTTGTGGAAGAAGAATAAAAATAATGTGAGTGTATTGTTACATAGTCGAATAAAGTTCAACTAAACTTACCGTTTTGTTTCCATTACCTTTTTTTTTGACTGTATGTTTTAGCATGCGTCTTATAATCCGGAAAATATGGTATTTATAGATGTATACAAAAATCACAATATGCATAGTACATCACAGAAAACATGAAAAATGGATATTAATACATTTTTGGCCAACAAAAACCAGCCTGAAATCAGTTCGTGTAAATAAAAGTATTTAAATGGAACCGCTCAGCGTTTCCCTCGTGATTTTTTAAGAACTCAACTATTATGTGGTAAACTGAGGGTCTTCATATGAGAGCAAATATTCCTGTAAAAAAGGAAAAGGGTGATTCTTTTTTTGCGGCTACATTCCATGTCCCCATGTTTTGCTTACAATTATTTTTTGTAAAATGTGCCAAATATTTGCATCAAAGTATTTTAATTATATATTTATTCGTTTGCCATTATTCAAATATAAATTAAATGCCTTTTAAATATTTTGTTCTTTACACTCCTTTTTGGTGACCGACATGCTCAATTTCATTGCGTCCCCAGAGCCATGTAACAGACTTCCTCATGAAGTTTAAACTATGAGAAATATATATTTTTAATGTTTTTCTTCAATAAGTTGATTGACTGGACTAAACATTATTGTCGAAACTATTTTTCTTATTTGATATTTTCCTCATACATGTTCCAGTACTAACTTTCCACCGTTAGGATTTTTCCTTTTTGCCTTCAAAAAGTCTAAAATTCCATAAAAACCATTTAAAGGAAGTGACATCAAAGGTTTTGAAGTAAATTCAACCATGAAAACAAAGTAAGCTTCAACTGTCACCATCTCTGTACTTTTTCTTATCTTAAATATGTTAAACCTGGATGAGTAAAGCTTAAAGTTTCACCCTGTTAGGATGGATTGTGAAAAATGTTTATTCAGTAGAATTTAAAAAACATTACATTAGATTTAGTCATTAAAGGTTTGTTATTATGTTGAAGGTTGGCTAGCTAAATGTTCACCGCATAAAGAGCTACAGGTGGATTAGTTAGAAAAGTTTCACCCTGTTATGGGTGGAAAGTCATCATTTTAAGTAAAATGTCAGATGATGGAACAGAGTTGCAGAGTAGTCTGAGGTATTATCAGATGTCTTTTTGTCTGTTTTCATTTAACTAGTTGCCCCCATTGACTCCTGTGAGGGGAACAATGAGTACCTGTCAGGGGAAAATCCACTACAGGGATGTCACCTGTTTTCCCAAATAGAGCCAGGACAAATACTCTGCCTATACTTTGACTTGAAGGAGGCAATTCTGCAACTAATGATGAAAATCGTCAGATTTTAGAAGACATTCATTTTCCACCCTGTTATGGGACAATCCACCATGTTATGTTCCATTAATATTTAATAAAAACATGTTTTTACTAAATATTGTTACAGAAACATTAAATACTGTGAATTTTTCTGTGCCATGTTGGGAAATGAAGACCAATAAATGCACATATTGATATACGTTTTTAAAATTACCAATATTTTCAATCCTGTCAGTAATAATGAACAAACATTTTTTTTTTACAATAAAGACATAAATGATTCGTAACTACATGATGCGTTACAATTTCAAAAATAAAACATATTATATAGTAAAAGGGACACACTGTTTAAGAAAAAGTCATTATTCTAAATTTACATGTTTAACTATTTGTGGTCTACATGTAAATGTTCCTAACATGTAAATGTTCCTAACAGGTGGAACACATTCAGAGACAATGGTAAAAAAAAACACCTGTAATTATTAATTCATCCAGTCCTGAACTTTCCCATTGTTAATTTCTTATTGTTAAGCATGTCAGTGTTGTAACACAATATTTAAAACTTAAAACATTAATTTTTTTTTCAAGTGTCCTGAAGCCGAAATGTTGCCGCAAAAAAAGAATCACCCAATTTAAGCTGTTGTCACTTCCTGTTCCCCTGCAGCACCGCTGGCTTCGCCTCAGCACCAGGAAAGATTCACTGATTCAGTGATTCAGTTTCAGTGATTCAGTTTCAGTGATTCAGAGATTCAGTGATTCAGAGATTCAGTGATTCAGAGATTCAGTTTCAATGATTCAGTTTCAGAGATTCAGTTTCAGTGATTCAGAGATTCAGTGATTCAGAGATTCAGTGATTCAGAGATTCAGTGATTCAGTTTCAGAGATT